AGGAAAACACCAAAAGTAATACAGAGAAACAAAAAAAGAACATAAAAGGACTTTTTTTTAGTAATTATACATAACTCCAATACTTGTTTGTATCCATTTAATTAAAGGCTGTGACTAGGTATGTAGCACAAGTCAGAGAAGTAGGCTGAAAAAAAATTTTGCTGTAACAGTAATTATTATAACAACAACCTTGTATTTCTATAAGCTTACTCAGACCTTTAACAAATTTCTTTATAAACTTTTTTTTTTTTTCATTTTGGAAATATCCAGCCATCTTAATCTTAACTAACTTTGACCTTTCAACTCTTTTTTTTTTTTTGTCTTTTTGAGACAGGGTCTCCCTGTAGCCCCAGCTGTCCTGGAACTCATGATGTAGACCAGGCTGGCCTCAAACTCACAGAGATCCGCCTGCCTCTGCCTCCTGAGTGCTGGGATTAAAGGCGTGTGCCACCACACCCAGCAAAATTAACATATTTTTAAGTAATAATAAGCATAATATAGAGGAAGAGTTAAGATAAGGGTTAAAGAAGGCCGGGCATGGTGATGCACGCCTGTAGTCCCAGCACTCGGGAGGCAGAGGCCAGGACAGCTAGGGCCACTCTGCCTCAAAAAGACACACACAAAAAAAGATAAGGGTTAAAGAAAAAACATTTTGACCTGGAAAAATTATTTTTAGGTTACCTTAACAGTTTTAGTTTGTATGAGGCTTTACTTATAAGTTAATTTGACAGCAAGTAAATTATTTCTAAGGAATATAAGTTTATGTATACTGTGTATAAACAAAATAGACACCTTAAAATGTCTTGAGAATAAACCAGAACCCAAAAGGTACTTAACAAAAAAGGATCTTTACATAACTAGAGACTTAGAGACATTGTTTAATAGATTTAAAAATGATTAGGAGCTCTAGGCATGGTGGCACACGCCTTTAATCCCAGCGCTCGGAAGGCAGAGGCAAGAGGATCTCTGTGAGTTCAAGGCCAACCTGGTCTCCATAGCAAATCCAGGCCAGCTGGGGCTACAGGGAGACCCTGTCTCAAAAAACAAAGACAACAACAAAAATGATTGGGGTACCCAAGTTTAAAAGGCCTTTGAAGCTGGGCGTGCTAGTGTATGCCTTTAATCCCAGCACTCAGGAGGCAGAGGCAGGCGGATCTCTGTGAGTTCAAGGCCAGCCTGGTCTACATAGTGAGTTCCAGGATAGCTGGGGCTACAGGGAGACCCTGTCTCAAAAAGACCAAAAAAAAAAAAAGGCCTTTGAATGTAAATTTGTACCAGTGTATTTTAATGAGGCATGCCAAAAATAAAACCAATAATTTTGTGCCGTTCACTAGCCCACCCCGCCCCCAGTACTGGGGACACTCAGACGCAACTTGGAGCCTAGTCAAGCAGGGACTCATTTATTGCAGGTGTTACAGAGCTTATAAAGGCACCTGGAAATCCCCCCTCCCCCAGAGGATGTATCTTAAGGATGGTCACTCACTGATCATGCACTCCTCAGCAATTCGGAAATATGCTTCAGACTTTCAAAACAAGTCAGGCCGTGCCCCAGTAACTTCCTCTCAGACTTCAATCCCAGCACTAGGGAGGCAGAGGCAGGCAGATCTCTGTGAGTTCAAGGCCAGCCTGGTCGACATAGTGAGTTCCAGGACAGCTGGAGCTACAGGGAGACCCTGTCTCAAAAAGACCAAAAAAAAAAATCTGACCAGTACAGAGCTACAGAGAGAGGGAAGATGGGCCCCTAAATTGAGGAAATATTGAAGATAGGATATCTCATGCTATCTTCCATTTTTGTTTTATGTAAATTTTAAAATTTGTTAAAGCATTATGATTAAAGGTGCCAATTTTGGGTCCAGGTTGTAGTTAGGCCAGATTTGGACCGACAGCTGAGTAACTCTGGCTGGTTCAAGTCTTACTAATTGGACTTCTTTTAGGTTTGTTCTGAGGCAAGCCAAAGGTGTATCTTTTGGAATAGATAATTTGGAGCCCTTGGTGGGCAGGCTTCCGGAGTCTCCTTGGTTCCTCTAAGTAAGCTTCTGGAGCTTTACTAGATCCCCTGTGGGTAGACTTCCCAGAAACCAAAAAATTTGTAACCCCTAGTGTGTGGGGGAGACAAGGTGGGAGGTTAGATCTAGCCCCTCACAGGCATCTCTCTGGGTTTGGGTCCCTCTGAGTTCAGATCCACCGGAACAGACCTAGTGTCTAGGAGTGAGTGTCCCCTAGCTTCGTAAACACCAGGGGGGATGTCAGAAGTCGAGTGTCCAGTGGAAAACTCCTGGAGTTTTTGGGCTACCTCAGTCTCAAGACCCTGGACAGAAGGGACTCCCTGGTTAGTGGTGCCGCGATTACCTTGTCTCTGGAGGTGGTGGATGCAAGGCTGAAACAAAAGGAAGGTGGCTTCCCTACCTGGAGGTCTAGGTAGATACAGAAAAAGGAGAGAGCAAAGAGTATCAGAAGGTGTAGAGGAGAATTAGGAGGAAGGGAGCCAAGGAAAGGCTCCAAGTGAAAGGCTCCTAGACACTCAATGGTCACCAGAGCTGCCCAGAGGCCTTTGGAGAGGGTCCAGGAGGGCCGGGGGCCTCTGGGATGGACCCCTGAAACCCTTCCCCGGAAGGGCCACTATATGTTAGATTTTCGGAAAATAAAAAGAAAGTTAGAGGAGTAGGAGACAAGAAAACAGAGCCAGACTTGCCAACAGGCAAGGAATATTTCTTCTATTCAAAGAAGATACAGTGAGAGGCAGAGGCTGTCTGCTGAAAACAAGCTTCTACAACCAGACAAAGAAAATGCTTTTTTTTTTTTTTATTTTTTTTTCTCATTGCAGCTGGTTTGTTTGTTTGTTTGAAGCAGGGTCTCCCTGTAGCCCCAACTGTCCTGGAACTCACTATGTAGACCAGGCTGGCCTTGAACTCACAGAGATCCGCCTGCCTCTGCCTCCCAAGTGCTGGGACTACAGGCATGCACCACCACGCCCGGCTGGGGTTTTTTTTTATACCAGGGTTGTGAGACACAATTGCACTTTGTGGGGAGTTGAATTAGTGCCCGGGTTTGGTGTCCCTGAGGGTCTCTTCTCAGACAGGTGAGTGAGTTATCTACAGCCTAAAGGAGACTGATGTGCTCCGCAAACAGTCTCTCTCAGTCCCTGGAGTTACCAGTTGATAAGGCTTGAGCAAGGCCAGGCTGCCAATTTAGGGCCACTTAGACACTTTAAGGGATTTATGGCTTTCCCTAATGAGGCTTGTGGCTCTTCTGCAATTCACATATTTTATCAACTTGAGTGTAAGCAGTTCATGTATGTGTTATCTTGTAAAGTCTTAAGTACTTAAAAACAACAGCTAAAATATTCAATCTATCCATTCCTTTAGACTTCAAGTCAGTTTCAGAAATCTCTGTAAGTCTTGAAGAATCCCAACCCTTAATAAGTGAAAAGTATCAGATAGCTTGTGCATTCCAGGACTCATAGAAAACAAAAAATAAAGTAGGAAAGATATGTTCTGTAAACTCTGAAAGTTGACCTTTCATTCTACAGTGTGTTCTACCTTTCTACCTTACCTGGATCCGTATGTGGGAGGCTCTGTTGCAACAACTAAAGCCTTTAAAAAATGTGCTTCTTGAAATAGTTCCAGCAGCGTCTGGGCCAAAGAGTTCTCTTAAGTAGCGTTTGTGGACATTCATCCAGTTGGTAAAATCTTTTAGCCACTTTGATTTTCAAATTATCCTATTGGAAAATGTATCTACTGGGCTACTAGGTATTAGAATAGATATGTAGTACCTCATTGTAATGACTCATTACAATGACTAAGCAACCCAGTGTAACAACTGCAAGAATCATTAGGGCTGGGCTATTTGGCTAACATGTGTGTGGCCCTAGGTTCAATCCCCATAACTGCCCAAAGGATTGGGAGGAGAAAAAGGAAACCTTAATTTGAGTTTGCCTTGACAATTCTAGCCCAGTGTGGTGGCTCAGGCCTGCAATCCCAGCTGAGGTAGGAGAATTACTGTGAGTTTGAAGCCAGCCTGGGCTACAGAGTGAGTTCTTGGTAGCCTGGAGTTGAGATCATGCCTCAAAATAAAAAAAATGAAAATTTGGCATCATTTCAGGTACCGCCTTCTCAATATTTTTAGTTCCAAAGACCACATGTGAACTGAAAGGAATTTTATTTTAGTTTCTGCTTCTATCTTGCTTTTGTGGAATTACTGTCTGCTGCTGGTAGAAGCATCTAGTTTGAGAATGAGATACTGAGGGTAGGATTTTGGTATGTTGAAGCACGATTAAAAAGTATAAATGAGATCCTCGGGTGAGTATCAGTGCAAGTTTCAGCCAGCTTTCCATTAGTTCCAGCTTGGGTGTTGCTGGACTTCTGCATCTTGGAAGTTAACAGACCAGTATAAATCCGTGTCAGGAGTTAGAACTGGAGAAAACAAGTATTCATTACTTGATGGTACACGGATGTTTTGGGCCCACAGCAACTGAAGTGACTAAAAACCCCACAGTTCTCACAGAAGTCTTGCTCTATCTGCCCTGCGAGCCCTTTTGGTCTGCCGACTGCAGCAGTTAAAATTAGGAACAGTTCTCACGGTATACTACGGTTTAGCTTCGTCGGAGGTTTCTGGAAAAGAAAGGAAAAGGTGGGGTTTCCTCTGCGGAAAGGGCTAGAAGGGACGTGACTTCCCTCACTAGCATGTTGGGGAGGGGCGGGGTTCCACGCGCCCACCAGGCAGGGCTTCCTCTGCGGGAGGGGCGGAGCTTGATTTGGGGGCGGGACTTCCTCTGAGGGAAGGAGCAAGGCGGAGCTGCTCCCACGGGAGGACGGGGCTTCCTCCGAGGGCGGGGCGACGCTCGGCGGGCCTCCCGGCTCCCTCCACTGCGCATGGCACGTTGCGTACGTTCCTCCCAGCAACCGGCCCAGCGGCGGCGGGGCCACAAAACTGAGGAGGCGGAGCCGAGACGGGGTCGGTACTGCGCTCTGACGCCCCAGACCAGGTATCGGGTGGCTGGGCTGCCTGCTGCGCTTCCCGGGCCAGTCCCTCCCGCCCGGACTCCGAGGCCATTTTCTCCGGGGCCGGCCTCAGTGGCCATCCCAGCTCACCCTGGCGCTCCTCAGGCTCCCATTTAACCCGCGTCCTGGGTTCCCGCAGTGAGGGCTTACAGAGTGAGTGCAGAATAGACGTGGGCTTTGCCGGGGAAACGCTGGGAGTCGCCTTCCCTCCCCATACACCCGGCTCCTCCTGGCAGATGGGGAGCTGGGACCAGATGGATTTTTGTCGAACTCCAGCAAAGTAGCCGGACACCCTAGTGCTGACCTTTTTTGACCCCACCCCCATATCCAGCGGTGTTGGGTCCTCGGAAGGACGCAGGAGATATGGGTGATATGTGATTTGACCAAAACAAGGAGTTTTGTCTTTTTGCTTTTAATTGTCCCCAGCAGATTTGAGGCCAGACATGGCGGCAGGGAGTAAGCGCGACAGAATGGGAGTGGTTAAATAAAAGTGTCCATAATTTTAGGAAATAGGCAACTAACCTCTAAGCTCAACTTTCTGCTTAGATCCTAACATATTTTAACTTTAAAGATGTCTGACACCGAAATAATTCTGGTCCTTGAAAGGCAAGAAACCAAATTTGAGACTGGGGGTGTAACTCAGTGTCAGAGTGCTTGCCTAGCATTTGGTGAGAACCTGTAGTCCACATTACTAGTTCTACCCAAAAGAAGAAAGAATAAAAAAGCGAATTTGAGTCCTGCCGTGGTGGCTCACGCCTTTAAACCCAGCACTTGGGAGGCAGAGGCAGAGGCAGGCGGATCTGTGAGTTCAAGGCCAGCCTGGTCTTCATGGTGAGTTCCAGGACAGCTGGAGCTATAGGGAGACCCTGTCTCAAAAAGACCAAAAAAAGAAGCAAATTTGTATGGCCGGGTGTGATGGCACACACCTTAATCCCAGCACTTGGGAGGTGGAGGCGGGAGGCAGGCGGGTCTACATAGTGAGTTCCAGGACAGCTGGGGCTACAAGGAGACCCTGTCTCAAAAGACAAAAAAAAAGCGAATCTGCTTACCTGCCTCTGCCTCAATACAGGAACGTAATAATTTAGCGTTAGTTACTGTACTGGCCTAGTCAATCCTCTCTGCTCTTTAGGTTCTTAGAGGTATTTTGACTGAAAATCAGTGTTTATAGTTGTGACCTCAGACATGAAATTTAAAGAAATAGTGACAAAAATAGAATGAAAATTATAGTAAATAAATGCTCTAATCTGGTGATGTCTTCTAGTCATTCTGTTTTTACACCCAGTCTTGAAACTTCTTCCTAGATTAACCAAGAACAAGTTTTTAGAGCACAAGCTTTGGGATGGATTTAATCAGTCCTTTACCAAGTGCCTCTGAGACTTAGGGCATTAAACTTTGAGTCCACAACTGTAAAGAAAGAGTAATTCCTGTGAGTTGATGTCCATGAAGCATTTAGCACAGTGTCTAACAATGTAGTGATTTTTTTTTGTTGTTGTTATAAATGTTGGCTGCCTTTATTAGTTTTGCTATTGCTAATTTAACAGTCCTAGGAGCACAGTAGCTCTTTGGAGATACAACCATGAACAGTATTCATTCCATGTCTTCACAGAATCTCTGTGGTAATGGAAGAGGTAATGAGGCAATTAAGAGTGTGGCTGGGCAGCTGGGAAGATGGCTCAGTTAAGAGGGCTTGCTGCTGAAGCATGAGAACCTGAGTTCCGATCCCCAGCACCCACCTAAAAAGCTGTGTGTGGCCATGAGCCTGTGACAGGAGGGATAGTGGGGTTTGCTGACTGCCAGTCTATGTCCAGGTTTAGTCACCTTGTCTCAAGGGAATAAGCTAGAGCGTGATAAAGCAGGACACGGGATGTCCTTCCTCTAACCTCCCCGTGCATGTGAACAGGTACACACACAGACACAAATTGGAAGGTGTAAGAGTGCAGTAAGGAGGGGAAAGGTTAGGGGGAGCTTCCCATAGCATAATAATCCCCAGGGGATTACTGAGGGGACAACTCAAATTAGGTTGGGGACAAGAAGGGAAGCAGGGTTCCTTAGGCTCCAGGGTTTTTTGTTTTGTTTTGTTTTTTAAATAGGCTGTAGCTAAGGATGGTTTTAAATTCAAAAATCTTCCTGCCTCCTGTCTACTTCCTAAGTGTTGGGATTATAAGCATGACCTATCATGCTTGGCTCTGGATTTCTGTCACTCATAGCTTTAGCTCCTAGCCATCTTCAACCTTTTAAGCATCAATACTACTTTTGTAACCAGTTGCCACCCCTTCCCCCCGTAGATAACTCTTCTTAACATATTTTAAAACTTGAACTCAGCAGAGAGCAATAGAGGAAGACACCTAATGTTCTCTTGTGGCTTCCATACGTGCACCATGGGCATGCATACCCTACATGTACACACAATCAATGAATAAACAGATAAACTCAAACTTATCCTTCCACCAAAGCCACTTCCACCTCTGAGCTTTCCTGTTTCTGTCATTGACTCATTAGCATATTAATCTTTAAGAACACATACAGAAAATTAAATAATCATTTATAGACTGGACTCCCAGATAAGGTAGTAAGTCTCTGAAGTTTTCAGTCAGAGACTACAAAATCATATATCACGGGAGGATCAGAAGTTTAAAGTCATTCTCAGCTACATAGCAAGTTTTAGGTGAACTTGGTATAAGAGACACTGTCTAAAAACAAGACAAGAAATATTCTCCAAAGGGTAGAGGATGGGATAGACAACTTTTGATCTTGCTGCTTTATATATAGTTCCTTTTTTCTGGTCAGCTGCTCATCTGTTTCCTAATGCATCCAGTGCCACAGGCTCTTATCACCACTAAAGTTGTTTTCTAATCAGCATTCTTTTCTCTGGGTTATTTTTACTTCTCTTCCCCATTCCTTTACAGATTAACATTTCTTAGACTGTTCTTCCAAACAAGACTTTAAATGTTAGTTAATACCATGATCTACATAGTAGCAGCATTGCCACCTGGCAGTGTGTTAGAACTACCAGGCCCATTCTAGACCTTCTGAATTAAAGTCTGCATTTTAGCAGATCTCAAGGTGCTTTACATGCACCATAAAATGTCAGGCACACTGCTTAGACCACATGGTGTGTTTGTCTCCTTTCTATTCAGAACCTCCAGTGGCTTCCTACTCCCTGAAGAATAAAATCACACTCTAGCATGCAGTGGAAGCCTCCTGTTTATCCTCACATTCTTGGAGTTCTGTTTCTGTAGCTTTGGAGTGTATTCAAAGTTCTAACACACCTCTCCATGTTAGGTCAGTCATTTAACATTATTGAGTGTCTACTGTACGGCAGGCACCATTGTAGAAGCTGGGTACACCTGAGTCTAAGAGCAAACATTAAACAGTAGCTCACTGTTTCTAGCTTGGAATGTACATTTTCTTTAAGTCTTATTTGGTATTCCAGGTCCACTACCACTAAGTAATCTTTGGATCCATCCCCTGTACTAAAAAAAAAAGTCCTTTTTTATCCTGTCTCTCATAGTTTTGATATTTTTCATGTTTTGCATTTGTTCTATGTATTTCATGAAATTGTTTCATTTTCTTCAACCCACCATCTTCATGCTGTTTTTGGAAAGATTGTGTGTGTGTGTGTGTGTGTGTGTGTGTGTGTGTGTTCGTGTGTGCCTGGACTCTGAAAGCAGGCATCAGATCCCCTGGGGCCAGTTATGGGTGGCTTTGAGCTTCCAGTGTGGGTGATGAGAAAGAACTCTAGTCTCTTGGAAGGACAGCAGATGCTCTTCGTTTTGTTTAGACAAAGTCTTGCATAATACAGGCTATCCTGGAACTCATGCCAGTCTTTCTGCCATAGGAGTGAGGCATCACACCCAGCTCATGTCTAATTTGAACTAATTCCTTTCATGACATGCTTCATAGCTACCATCACCTTGATTTCTTCTCTTTTGAGCTAGTGTTTCAACATGTAATCCTGGCTGTACTTTGTAGTCCAGACTGGTCTTGAACTTGCAGCAATCCTGTCTTTGCCACCTCAGTACTGGGATTATAGATTTTTGACACCACTACTGACTGTCATCTTAATTTCTCTTCACTAGGCTCAACATTTTATTTATTTATTTATTTATTTATTTATTTTTTGGTCTTTTTGAGACAGGGTCTCCCTGTAGCCCTAGCTCTCCTGGAACTCACTATGTAGACCAGGCTGACCTAGATCCGCCTGCCTTTGCCTCCTGAGTGCTGGGATTAAAGGCGTGTGCGACCATGCCCAGCTAGGCTCAACATTCTTTAGCTCTCCTATCTTTGTCTTTGATTTTCTATATCATTTTGCTGCAGTGCATGTATCTGTAAAGATTTTCACTCAGTACATATGGGAAAGATAAAGGTAATGTTTTATTTTCTTTCTTTTTTTTTTTTTTTTTTGGTCAAGGTCTCTGTAGCCCCAGCTGGCCTGGAACTCACTATGGTAGAGGGCTGGCCTTGAACTTGAGATCCATGCCTGCCTCTGCCTCTGCCTCCTGAGTGCTGGGACTAAAGGCAGTTTCATGTCTGATAAATTGTTTTGCTCTTGCACTTTATTGGTAGTTCATGTGAGTATAGACCTAGGTTCCAGGAAAAAATTTTTTCAGTGCCTGTAGATTAGTGATTAGCATTGATTGCTCTGTCTCAGAGTAATCTTTTTCAGGAACTTGACTGTCTCGTTTCATTTCTTGTAGCATCTGTAATTTTTAAGAAGTGTGACACTGGAAGTGATGCATCTGGCCTGTTATCCCAGCACTTGGGATGCTGAGGCAGGACGATTCTGAGTTTGAGGCCAGCTTGAGCTGCATAGCAAGGTTCAGACCAGCCCTAGATACAAAGTGAAATCCTGTCTCAAAAAAGGAAAAAAACAAATGTAATACCAGTGTGATTGTTATTTCATTGTATCTGACATGTTTTCCTTCTTCTTTAATTCCCCCCCCCCCTTTTTTTTGGCTTCTTTCTAGGTTAGCTTGGGCTGGCTTTGAACACCATTATAGAGTCCAGGCTGGCTTCAAACTCACAATCCTGATTTAGCCTCCCCAGTGCTGGGATTAATAGATGTTTTTCACTGTACACTTTTGACCTTGTTTCTTATTATTTATTTTTTTATTTATTTTTGGTCTCTTTTTGAGACAGAGTCTCCCTATAGC